GTGATTTGGAAACTCTATGAAATGAAGTTTTAAAGCATGTAAACAAGGCTTGTTGTAGTGCAGCCATCCATTTGTGCATTGTCTGCGACAGCTTTTGTGTTGTCATGCTGGCCTGTGGTAAAGGCAGTTTTCCACATGTCGGAATTTTCATTACCAGTTTTCCTGGGTAATGTGAGGCTCTGCAGTAGGGTTCGTGTGTGAGCCTCTGAGGTTCATTAGTTGTGAGTGCTGGGGATGGGGAGCAGGCCCAGCTGCTGAGATGCTTTGTGAGTCACTGGTGCTTGAGGGGTTGCTGATGCGGTCTGGCCGCTTGGCTAATGTACACAGCAGAGCATGTGATTTGTACTGCCCTCATCCCTGTGACAACCTGTGTGACAGCTTACAGGAATGAGTAAAGAGGGGACTGCAGAAAAAACACAATGTACCTGAGAGAAAGCAGTAACCCTGGACGTGAAGTTCCACACTGGTGGGAGAACTGGCCAAGGAGACACTGCCCCCATTAGAGGCTTGAAAAGCTTCACAGAAGCGAAGAGAGCGGTGTTCCTTCTGTGCCATGTCCCGGGGGAGTGAAGGCAGCAGACTTTTGTAGAGTAAAGCAACTCAGAGCAGAGCTTTATTTTTATTTTAGATACAGTTCACAAGACAGCCCTGGCTGTTCTGGAACCCACTGTGCAGTCAGGCTGGCCTGGAACTCTCAACAGAGAGCCTCTGCGTCCTGAGTGCTGGGTGTGAGGTCCTAGGATTAAGAGTGCATAACTACCATGCCCACCCTTAGATCAAGTTCTGGACACTGCAGGAGAAAAAGCTACAATGTTACAAGTGGTTCTAGACTTAGAAAAGGCCAAGTGATGGCCTGTGCCATGTCATTGGAAGTATGGGGAGAATACCAGAAAATCTGTTATGTGGGGGAAGAAATGCACTTCAATTCTCAATATTAATAAGAAGCGGCTGGATGTAGGGTAATCTCTGTGAGTTCCAGACCAGCCTGGTCTGCATAGTAAGGCCAGGGTCAGTGTGGGCTGCTCGGCAAGGCCCTGTCTCACACAAAATGAATATGCTATGTAAATACCTGTTTTTACATCTGTACCCAGATTATTTGTTTTGATAATTCGTTTTATTTTGAGACAGGTTCTCACTGTGTAGCACAGATTGGCCTCCCTGCCTTCTCAGTGCTGGGATTACAATTGTGGCAATTTAACAAACATTAAAGATGACAGGTATAAGATTGCTTTTCACCTGGCAGTGGTGGTGCATGCCTTTAATCCCAGCACTCGGGAGGCAGAGGCAGGTGGATCTCTGAGTTCGAGCCCAGCCTAGTCTACAGAGTGAGTTCCAGGAGAGACAAAACTGTTACAGAGAGAAACCTTGTCTCAAAAAAAAAAAAAAAACCAAAAAACCCAGTAAGTTTGGAAGCTGGGGTGTAGCTCAGTGATAGAGCTTTTGTCTCACACACCCTAGCTGGGTTCCATTCCCTGAATACACACGTCCTTCCAGAATGAACTGTAGAAACATAAGAAGCCTGGTGTTTGGAGTATATGGAGCTGCACACTTGTAATCTCAGCACTTAGTAGGTTGAGGCTTGAGTTCAAAGCCAGCCTGGGCTACTGTGTGAGATGCTGCCTTAAAAAAGAAAAAGGCCTGGGTATAGTGGTGAATCCCAGCCTTGGTGGAGAGGAGGTAGAGATAAGAGGATCACTCCTTCAAAGCCGCCACAGCTACATAAAACAAGTTCAAGGCCAACTCTGGTTACATAAAACCCTGTCTCATCAAAAAACAAAACACCAAGCTCCAGATGAGAGACCAGATGGGAAGATGAGAAAGGTTGGGGACATTGCCCTGTAGTAGAACACTTGCCTACCACATGTGAGGCCCCGGTTCAGTCTCCGGAACCACGAAATGATAATACATAGAAGCGTCACGCTGGTATTAGAGTCTCTGTTTCCTGTCCCTCCAGCGTATTTGGTATATTCCTAAAGGAAACTTGCATTGCAGCTGCAGTATTTGTATTTAAAAAAAAAAAGAATTAGGTCTGTCTTTTGAAGCCTATAAAGCACACTGGTGATCCTAAACTTTTGTGTAATGACCTTGTTAAAGATGGCAGCAGGTGGTGCTTGGTGGCTCCCAGTTCTTAGAGTTCCAGGAAGGCAGGGAAGCTACACAGAGACCCTCTCTCAAAAAAAAGCGACAACAGCTCTTTCTTTCCATTTGGCAGAGCAGGGTGTGTAGTCATGTGAACCATTGGCAGATTGTCTTGGTTAAAACTAGTGACCTGAGAACCAGAGGAACCAGTTTCCTTTGGACAGCATTCCCAGACACCAGTCTGTAATTTTACAGCAGTGTATGTTCTGAATGCCTGCCAAATTAGGATTTATTCCCTTCAGCTTCTTCCTGGTTTTCATGGAGAGAGGGGATAGGAGGTATAAAAGACAGAGTCTTGCTCTGTTCTCCTGACTGGCCTGGAACTCAGTTTGAGTAGACCATGCTAGGCTTCAATCTGGGGTGATCTTTGCCTCTGCCTGAGTCCTGGAATTAGGAATGGATGACCATCTGTCCAGCCTTCCTGATTTTCTCACTGGATTTGGAAGTGATGGAAGTAATTTTGTAGTCTAGGTTGGATGTGCTTGTAATCCTGGCATTTGGGAAGCTGAGGCCAGCTTAGGCCACTTGTAAAGACCTTGTTCCCCCAAAAAAACCATTGTGTTTTAGTATGTGTGAGTGTGCCAATAGGACTTGAGGCCACAGTGTAGCTCCTGTAGAGTGCTTGTCTAGGCCCTGGGCTTTTCCTCAGCGCTGAAAAGAAACCAACAAACAAGCAGGGAACACACCTTTCGTGATTACCTGCAGATACCCAGACCATTCACGTTTCCTTCTTTCACGACAGGGTCTCTCTGGCTAGCTGTGTAGACCAGGCTGGTCTTAAACTCGAGATCTGCCTCCCGAGTACTGGGACTAAAGGTGTGCGCCACCACACACAACCAAGTCATTTTTTTTTTCCAGTCTTTTTGTTTAACAGTCAAAGCCCTTATTAAGAAATAGCTTGCTGAGATTGTGTCCAGTCACATCCTTGCAGCCTTGGCTAGCACTTGTGGCATGTCACTGTGAGTGACCCCGTAACTGAGAGCAGAGGCCTCAGATTGCGATAAAGGGCCCAAGGAATGTTGGCTTCCAAGGAGCTCTGCTGGCTGTGTGTTTTCCCACTGCATGTTGATGCCACTCGGGCCCCTCCGCTGCTCTCGGGAGACCTTGTCCCAGCACCTGGGCTCTGAGCAGATCACTGTGAATTTAGTTCTCTCCAAGCTTCAGTGCTCATGTTTGGAAGCAAAGGGTGTTATTTGAGGTTCTGTTTCATTGTGAAGATTACATTTTCCTGTTTGTTTTTCTATTTAGTGTGTATTTGTGCACATGCGCCCTCTGAAAAGCATGCCATTGCACTTGAGGTCAGATGAGAACACCTCTTGGGAGTGGATTCTCTTCTACTGTGCAGGTACCAGGGATTGAGCTAAGCTGTCTGGCTTGGCTGAAAGTAGTAAACCATCTTGCCAGTGCTCTGGTTTTAGGGTTTTTTTTTTTTTTTTTTCCCCAGTCTTCGGTGGCCATACTAGCCTTGAATTCACTGTGTTGCTGAGTGAGGTTAGCTTTAAATTCCTGATCCTCCTGCCTCTACCTCTCAGGAGGTGGGATTATGGGTGTGTGCCAGCACACTGTACCTAAAACCACAGAAAGCAACAATAGAACCACAATTGGTGGCCACCAGGACTCTCAGCTTAGCATGGGTCCTCTTCATTTTGTGTTGCTGTTAGCAGCGTTGCCTCCCCCACCTGACAGTATGTATGCTGGGCCAAGTCGAAACCAGAAGATTCTGCTCCGTGTGTTTACTCTGGGCATTGTTGATCCATTCTGTGTGTTGTGACCTTTGGCATGATGTCAAAAGCGTCTGTCATAGGTGTATGCCAGCTGGTTCTTTTTCTTTTCTTACTGTGGTAGCCTTGAACCTTGTACTTAGTAGGCAAGTATGTTACCACTGAGTGAGGTGTCACTGGTTCTTCCTGGATTTTTTTAAGTTTTGAGACAGGCTTACTAAATTCCTCAGGCTGGCTTTGAACTTTCCATCCCTCTGATTCTTGCTCCAGGTAGCTAGGGTTACAAACCTGTGCCATGAGCCTTGCTGGGGAGATGATTCAAGTCACAGGCTTGAGGACCAGTACCTACATGAAAGCCAGGAGTAGCAGCAAGCACCTTTAACTCTGCCCATGCTGCAGGAGGGCTGGGAGTGAATGTGGTACTGCATCCAGCCCTTTGGGGGGGTTCCAGATGTTGAACTCAGGTCATCAGGCTTGTGCTAGTCCTTTTACCCACTGAGCACCTCTCTGGCCCTGAAATTTTCCTTTTCTCTTAGTTCATTGAGATTGATTGGCATGTATGGGAGTTGCTGAGGGGAAGTTTTTGTTCTGCACAGTAGCAGTGTGTTGTGTGTATAGATTGATGTTTTGAGAACGTCTGGTTCCATGCCCATCATCATAACAATTTGAGAGATGGAGCGGAAGCATAAACCTGCCCCTCGCATTTCCCAAGATTATCTCCAGTGGAGGAGAGGAACAAGAGCAGCTCTGGGACAGTTGGGCTGAGAGCTGTCATTTGGGTGCTCATCAGGTTGGCCTCCAGGCTGGGCACACAGAACAGTGTGCACTGCAGAGGAAGACATGGGATCTGTGATCAGGTTCTGGTGGCTTTCCATTCTTGAGGCCGATTCCCTTGCCTTGTTCACAGCCCCCTGACCAGCCTCTAACAGTGACTGCAAATGTGTCTGGAATACTGTGGTTGGTATTTTTCCCTTTGATCGAAGTGGAACAAACCTTCGGACTCCCTGGAACCCAAGCCCACAAGCTGGGTTGCCCTTTAGAGGTGAGAAATTAGGGTTAGGAAGCTTGTCTATGAGGTTCTTGGATTTGAGTGTGGGTTTTGTATCCGAATGTCTTTGTAAGAGGATTGTAGGGCCTGGCATGTGTCTGTCTAGTGCTCTGCTGAGCCGTACCCTCACTCCTCACTGTGCCCCCATTAAGGAAGGGGTGTCGAGGACAGAAGCCACCTGCAGCTGCCGCTGCATCAGGTGTTTCTCTCCATCGGAGGAGGACAGTGTCAGGACAGGCTTTGGGACCAGGTCAGGAGGAACTGGTAGGCCCAGAATACTTTGCTTCCCCTTTGGAGTGTCTTGAAGACACAGACTTCCTCCTATAGAACGTGTGTGTGTCCTTTGACCCCGGGACTGTCCCCATCAACCCACATGGGTTCTGTTTTGTTTCAGAGTCTTGTGGAGTTTCGAAGGTAGTGGGGAGATGCCGGGCTTCCATCCCCAGGTGGTGGTACAATGTCACTGATGGGTCCTGCCAGCCATTTGTGTATGGAGGCTGTGAAGGAAATGGCAATAACTACCAGAGCAAGGAGGAGTGTCTTGAGAAGTGTGCTGGTGTCACTGGTAAGACTGGAGTTTGGACAATTTGATGTTTAGAGTTCAGTTAGGATGTTGACTGGGTCCAGAACCTGGAATGGGGTGGGATGCAAAAGCAGGCCCAGTGTGCTGGTCCTGTGGCCATACTGGTTTCACAACATGCTCTCTACTTCTTACTGGAAAGAGTTGAACTACCACCTGGCCTCCTGATCCACTCCTACAGGCCCTTGTTCTCCAGGCTAAAATTAGGGTTATTTCTTAACCTCTGAGACAAGTGACCCGAAAAGCTCACGAAGCTGTGTTAGTGCTGGAGTATGCTCCCTGGAATCCACACTCCTCCCAGTCTTTAAAAGCCAGGCTCTGACCCTTACAGTTCAAATAAAACCTGAAGCCCCAGCAGAGAGCTCCAAGTCCTGATCCCTCGATGCTGTCCCCAAGGCTGGGGCCTAGCTGCTCACAAAGATTTTGCACAGCCTTTCGGAGCATGCAGATTTTTCTGATGACTTGAAACCGTGATGGTTTTCTGTTAAGCCCCAGTGTTTCACAGTCAGTCCCCCACAAACGGTGATGCTTGTGGTTTTCTGTCTACTCTCTCAGCTTGGAGCTGTGCGTTCAGAAGTCAGATGAACATGTTGAGGTGGTGTGAGGCCATCAGCAGTCAGGTCTTGTGCAGTGGGTGAAGTGCACAGGCCGAGCATGGGGAAAGACAGTTTGCTTGTTTGGGGATGTGTGCTTTTACTGTGTGGTCCAAGGAAGTCTTAACCTCTTTATCTTGCTGCTTCTTTCTGCCTCTAAGTACTTAGTTTATAGGTGCCCGCCACCATGCCTATATAGGGTGTGGTTTTAGATGGTGCAGGCCAGTCCTTCACCTTTTGGGTGGTAACTGGTTCATCCAGAAACTGAGTGCAGAAAATGTTATTTCTTGTGTTTTCCTCTCCTGTGTCAGGGGAAGATTTGGGAAATGTTGTTTGCTCCCCTTTGTTGTGCTATGACCGTCTTAGAAAGAGGGTTGGAGTGAGCATGAACAGGAGACAGTGGGCATAAGGCACTCACTATCCCCCTGGATGTGGTCTAGAACTTGACCCCAGCTACAAGGGCCTGCACAGCTCTTGGTGGGCATTTGGTTGTATGTCTCTTGGCACTCTCGTGGGAAGGAATCTGTAAGGCAGAATGAAAATTGCCAAAGCCTCTGGTCCCTGGAGTCCTTTGCCAGTTCTGTTGAGGGTGTGTGCCAGTTTATTAACTTGTAATGGGAACTAGAACCTCCTAGGGGACCAGAGTGTCCCTGTGCCCGAATTCAGTCTACAGAGGCAAGGTTTCTAGCACATTGCCGGAAAGTGGCCTGATGAGGGCACAGGTAGGAGGCAGATTGAGGGGATCTGGCCAGGCCAGCCCCAGGCACTTCCACCTACTATCTTAATTTGTACTAGAGACAACGACATCAGATGCCAGGCATGGTGATACCCAGCTGCAAAATTGAGAGGCTGATGCAGGTGGATTCCAGGAGTTGAGACCAGCCTGGGCAATACAGCAAGATCTTCTGTCCAAAAAAGAAACATCCACACCACACATAATAAACAGGCTGTTTTGAAGTTTGTTGCTCCACTCCAGCCCCACCCCCCACCCTTCTATTGGGACAAGGTCTCTCTGTATTGCCTAGGCTGGCTGCTTTGAATATCTTGCCTCAGCCTGCTGAGTAGTTGGGACTACAGGTATGTCACCATGCACAGTGTGTCTTCTCTGCCATTTCAAGAGTGTGTGTGTGGTTCAGCAATATTGAATGCATTGCACTGTTCTGTGCCTTTAAGGATTCTAGATAAAGAAAATACAAACTGGGTGTGATGGCTCACGCCTAACACTCTTATAGGAGGATTTCTACAAGTCTGAGGCCAGTTGGACTATACAGTTCCAGGCCAGTCTCAGTGACAGGATGATAACCTGTCTCAAAAAGTCAAAATAAGGAGCTGGAGAGATGGCTTCGTGTTAAGAGCATTTACTGGTCTTACAGAAGACCAGGGTTCAGTTCCCAGCACCCACATCAGGAAGCTCACAACTGCCTGTAATCCCAGTTCCTAAATCCAGTACCCCTTTTTGACTGCATCAGGCATCTGTAGGCAGGTGGAACACATAAACTCATACTCATTCAGGCATACACACTTTTATTTATTTATTTATTTTTAACATTTAAGAGAAAAGCGCAGCCGGGCGTTGGTGGTGCCTTTAATCCCAGCACTTGGGAGGCAGAGGCAGACGGATCTCTGTGAGTTCGAAGCCAGCCTGGTCTACAACAGCTAGTTCCAGGACAGGCTGACTCCAAAGCAATACAGAGAAACCCTGTCTGGAAAAACCAAATAAATAAACAAACAAATACAAGAAAATCGGCCCTACCTACTAATGTAGAGGCGCAGCTCTCCCTGAAAAGGGCACACCCACTCACAGGTGTGTCTTACCATTTCCCTCAGCATCTCCACTAATCTCTCTCTGCTTACGATTTGTGTTCAGATGGGGACAGTGAGATGGCTCAGTGGGTAAAGGCCAAGCCTGGAGAACTGACTCCTTCACATGTGCCCCATGACACAGACATGCATGCATGCATACACACAAAATAATTTTTAAATGTCGTAGC